CTGAAGTTGAACAGGACCTTAAGCTACTTATTCACATAAGCCACATCACCCGATATTAGTCTGCATCGGGTTCAGTCCACTTCCGATGTTACCTGCAACGAAAATGCTGACAAAATTATATAAATATATCATTTGTTTTAAAGTAATGCGCAGTTTGGATATAAATGAATAATAAGATTCGATGCCGCACACAGTGAAGTTCTATGACGAAATGACTTCAAGTTTTATTTTCCCCAAGTATTTGTAATGCATCCAAAACATACTTTGATCTTTTTGATCTTTGATTACAGCTTGATTCCACACTGTATTTTTGGTACAAGTATGGAATTTTCAGCATGTGATATTGGTAGCCCAAATTCTGCAGGCCGACCATAGATATCAGGTGTGCATCGGCAGGGGATCGAAACCCGGACCATGTGCATGGTCGGCGAGAGTCCTAACCACTGTTAATGAGGAGACAATATTTCTATATTTCTTGATGTTCTTCACTGAATGACTAGTTGGCATATCGTTCCCGCAAACTAAAGACACAAAAGACAGCAACCACATAATTTCTATATTACCCAAATTTATGTAATCTAAACAACACTTATCCTTGACTGTAAAATTAGTGTCCTACATAGATAGGAATAGATATATTCTCATCATAACCAACGGTTCCGCGTTTCCTTGGAGTATGTGTGGATGAGTCGCAGGTGGTGGTTTATTTATTGGTCCTTTGAATAAGTCAGCGCAACGTTTGATCTGTTTCACTCTTTTGGTGACCAAGTCTCTTTCACCGCCTTTCACTGGTTTCAGCGTGTTGACCTCTTCTCATTCAGAGACATGATTACTTGACTGTAATAATAAAACTATAATAATAATTGCTTTATTCTGAAAAATATGTCTGTAAACCAGATAAAGTTTTTCACTCCTTTTGCAGGATCTTACTACATTAACTTAATATCATCTTAAGCAATATATTTCCGGCTAAAGCATCTATCAAAGGGAATATATGACTATACAACAGTTTTGAGTATTATTTCTAGTCGAAACCGACCAATAATGAGCTCGAAGCCCATCAAGCAACGTAATTGACTGGCTTCCAAGATGTCCACTGTCTTGAGATTCTCCTAACGTTCTTACTCTCTGCTCACAATCTCCATTTTATAAACATCCCGAATTCCTCAGAAAGTCTTTTATTCTCACTGACTTCACATGGGGCTTGACGGATTCTCCCCTTTTGCTGTCCACTCCTTTCTCGTCTTAAATTCGTATCGCCAACTAGAATTTTAAAATCTCTATCGGACCGGACCTTGCACAGTGCTGATTGCTGTTGTCCACTGACGTATTCCTGTATTGTTTACCAGTGTGATACTGTAAAATTGAAACCCTGATTCACCTTAGGGCCAAATCTTGCTGTTATTATCTCGAAGGAGGTTGGTTTCCATTGCACGAGGACTGTTGATAACAGCACAATAGCCATACCCTCAATCTACTCGAGAATGTTGTCCGTTTTATCGGAGAATATCAGAAATATTAGCAATGGTAGTAATATTAGTGGAGAATTATTAGTCTGCTACTGGTTACTGAAGTGATAGTACATCACTTTTGCCGCGAGTTGCATTATCTGTCAGTTCCTCCATGGTATCAGATAACATGACTGTGGGTTTGTCTGCTGTCTAAAGTGTAGAGTCGTCTGCGGAAACGAGGTTTTCAGATGGTTGACGAGTGCTGGATGTCAACATGCTGACAACACTAACACGTTTGACAGAATTAACCATTAATGAAACAAGAATTTTCACAATTTCTGGAAAAAAGTCTTGATGATATAATAAAAGATTGTTGTATTATCGAAGTATCGAAAACAACGATAAACAGCTATTTATTGCAAAATAAAATGTCAGACTTTCTTTAAATACTAGTGCCTAGGGCTAAATTCTAGAAGAGTATGGAAAGGTGATTTACACAGAAACACAACAACTGTATCACGGTAGTTCTTACAAACTTTTCTCAGCGCTGACATCGGGACATATTTTGACTAGGTTAACTGCTATTAAAACGTCAATAGTTTTTATTTAGCTTTGCCGATATGTGTTGCCGAACACGAAAAATTAATTACGAGCAACCAAAATCGTGACTGGAGGATAACAGCTGATAGACACACGATGAGGCAGTTGGTTGAAGTACTTCTTTTTTCAGCGATAGTGAAAATTGACTGAGTATTTGTGTCTTTATTCGAGCCAGTTTTCTGTTTGTTGCAGGCGACAGTCCTCGAGGTGGCCTGGAGGTCTGCTCGTTGACAGAATGCTGGAGCAGTACAATCAGAAGTAATGATGTATATTGTAATCCTTTAATTCACTGACAGTAACCAAATGTCAATTAACTGGTCAAACAGCTGCGTAGTTATCCTGGTATGTTGGCTTATACTGGGTAGATCAGTAAATGTTCGGCCTAATATTCGCTTTTAATGCCTCCTGTGTTGAAGTCAAGTCGTTTATTGTATGCATAACATAGTATTCTGAATTCTGGGGAGTAGTCTTCTGGCCACGAAATTTTTCTGATAAACAACCTAGCCTACGGAAAGTATGATCTTAGGTTTACCGCCAGTACAGGTTCTTGGAGTTGATTTCGATAGCTGTTCATTGTTAATTCACTTGCTATGTCACCTTCAAACTGAGACTGTATACAAAGAAGTTTGTTGTTTAGAGGTGCGGAATGTTTGTTTTCACCTTTCTTGGCTATGTGTCTTATGAACTTCTCTGGATGACCATTCTCAGTTACTGTTGTATTCATCCACAAGTTTATCTTCAGTTAAATATTCTGACTCTGTAGCCGAGTGCCCTTACAGAATATCTTTTGTGCTGAAGAGGAACAAAATATGGAGATCTGTACATTCTCCTGTCCGTTTACTTTTCCTGAGTAGATTTCCTCGTGAAAAGACACCCAAAGAGGCAATTTTCTCTTGGAATACTTTATATGTGAATTCGGCATCTGTATGTACTCGATCGGAATCTAAGTAGGAGGCGATGAAATGGGCAACCGACGGTGACACGAGAAGACTGTGTGAGGAAGAGATGGAAGCTTATGGGAAACTTTTGGGCCAGGAGAAGGAGACTGTAAAGAACAGGGTGAAACGGCGTACTGTTGAAACCATAAATTACATTTAGAGCTTAGGGGAATAATAATATTCCTTATTAAATCGGGATGTTGTAGTGAGGCTGTCTAAATCATGTAACCTGGTAATAAAATCATCGAAAAGCGTTTTCTCTGTTCACTTAAAAGTCACTTACAGAGGCTTGATTGGTAAGATTTTCGTCGAAAATCTCACAGAATTATGTTTATATCAAGATCTTCACAGACAATCTCACTGCGGACTGGTGTATGTTAAAGATTTATGTGTCCCCAGTACAGTTGATTGTATCAAACCTGTGGTACGAACAATGTTGTGAGGTCTTTGCGAATGAACTGAATCCGTGATGCTTTAATCATGCAAGGAATTATGCATACTATTCTCCTTCTTCCATTTACTACACACCACCGCTTAAAACGATCATGGCTAGGCTGGTATCACGTGGCATTGCAATGATACGAGGAAACCTAAGAAATAATTTTGCTACGTCTTTCTGAGTTTCCATACTTTCAAAAGTGCATAACAAGTGTGACAGGTAGACATTCAATGACAAAGAAATTCACTTCGCTGAGACCTAAATTCCCAAAGCGCATTTGCTTTGAGAAGTTCCCTGCAAACTTTTTAAACGCTTGGGGGTAACTGGGATTATTATGACTCAAAAGGAAAGCCTTGTGCTAGACTAATACGTCATATGTTATTTCATCTAACAATAATAATAATTTCTCCTTCACGTTTCCAGTGGAACATAGGGCTTCAAGCTAGTGTCTCGAAGTTTCTGTAGCATTGTTTATTTTTACAGGATGGTGTTGCTAGCCTCATGCCCAACCTTTCCTCTTTACCAGCATTATTTCCGGCTTAGAGAGGTAAAAAAGTGCGTTGGCGGCCGGGGATCAAACCTCGGACCATGTGCATGGTCGGTGAGCGTACTAACTGCTGTGCCACTGACGCACTGTTCTTTCATCTACTGCTTACAAAATAAAAAATGACCAGAATCACCCAAACAAAGGTGTTCTGCTATTGAGTAGGTATAGGCTCCCTCGTGGAAATCCCAGAAGGATAGCTCACCAGAGGGCAAGGACTCAAGTGAATTCCAACTTCTTTTAATTGCAGGTTCGCCATCCCTAGAATTCCTTACCGGCAGATGTAGCTATGGCACCGTCTGTGGACGCCTTTAAGCGAAGGCTGGACGTTCATGCAGCGACACAAGGACTGCATCCAAATGGCCTGCCCCCTTAAAATCCCACACACCATTCAGGAGTAGATAACTAAAATCGTCGGGTCACTTCTTTAAATTCTCTCCCGTCTTACTCTCCTGACAACTTTAACTAAACCTATTATTATTATCATCATTACCACCATATACATATATATATATATATATATATATATATATATATATAATTCTTCAAATTTAATCAGCTGACTGTTGTTACGTGTCCTTATTTCTTTTTCTGCCTTTTAGTCTGAATAACTCGACTCATTATATCTATCATTATTATCTGTTTTATTCTGATGACGATACCGGAGGACTAACTGGTGAAAGGATCAACCCTATTCATACTACAAACCAAATATAAATAATTCCTGCACTACTCCTTTTGGAGTGGCAGGACGAGCTACGCAGAAGTTTACCAAAGATCAGGAACCTATACCTCACAATCGAGAGGCGAGCACAAGGAAATCAAATTGGTTTATAGTAGCTCGTAAAAACAATATTGGATATTGGACCAACATCAAGTTAGGTAGCATTTCAGGACACAAATAACTGCACTGCATACCGATTTCACCTACGAAAAAGTGAAGATTTAGTTTGGATGTGAACTGTAAATGTAAATTGTATTTGATTTCCTGCTTCGTTTAACTAATTCATTAGTAAAAGTTTCAGCGTGGCGATTTGAACGCTCAAGGTTACACCGAAGGGTTGTTCTGCGTTTCCATTAGAATACTGTTCTGCATACTTCAATGAACGTCTGATGAACAAGTTTCTGTCGGCGTCTCACATTGACTGGCTTCTAATGGATAAATCTACAGTCGACCCGAACTTAAATTCAATCGAACAGAATGCAGGTAATAATTTTATTAGCGATCTTATTTTTCTAAGATATATTGCCGGAATCTGTTGATTTCTTTCCAGATGTGTGTATAGATACTCACAGTGAAGAATTGAGTGCAAATGACTCTTGCATAAACCAATCGGAGGTAGTTTGAAGTCTGAGTTCGTATAAGGTAACTGATAATTTTAGGTTGATAGGGTTTCATTCGCCGACTCCGAATATCCTGAATCATGGGAAGCACCTGTTTGTACTTCTGGGACCACTGAACAACCTTCAGTTGTATCTACAAAGTGTTCAGATTTGGATAAAGAACTCAAGGAGTCATCTCAAAGTACTCCTAACATCGTGTGTAGTAATAGTGAAGTTTTCGGTAACATGAAAACCCAGGAAATGATTTCTTCACAGCATTGTTCACTGAAGGAAACATGCGAAGATATTTTCCCAGGCAGTGAAAAACACTGTGTTACAACTGAATACTCTCAGAATTCCACCACCACCTTAGATTCGTGTAATAAATGCCCTTCAGTTTCTCACGAAATGTCAGTTAGACCTTCATCCACCAATCAGACAATTCATTACACATCGTCAGAAACAAGGACTAATAACTCATTTGGGCTGTCTCAGTCTTCAATACCTAGTTATGGTCCATCAAACTGCGGATCTGATTTTTCCAGTGTTGAGGTTGATTCATTAGCTTCATCGTCAGAACGTTCGACGGTATTCGCATCTCCTGCAAGTTTACAGGCTTTAGATCCACTAAAACCGCGTAGAATGTCGGAAGTTGATTTTCAAAGAGTAGAAGAACTCAGAACGATATCTCCGAGTTCTAGTCCTACTTGTCGTAGACCGGGTCCTATGAAAGTGTCAAGTCCCTTGTCTTCCTCCATGGCTCATCATTGCAGCCTCTGTGGAAAGCAGTACCGTCATGTTGCTTCTTTAAGGAATCACATGCGAAAGCATACATCAGGCATATTAACCTCAAAGCGATACAAATGTAACCATTGTGTTTATTCAAGCCAGTACCATCGAAACGTCATTAAGCATATGGATGCAACTCACCGTAGTCATGAGGCGTTTTCGTCAATGAACACATCCCATTTCTCTGGCCTAAGTGCTGATCCATCCAGCACACATGAGGATATGAAACCAAATCTTATCAATTCTCGTGTTTGGATCCCCTACACTAAAGTAGAACAAAATTTTTATAGTACAATGTCAAGCGCGACCACTTCAAAAGACTCAACAGGTTTAGTAAAGGTAGAACAATCAGATGGTTTTCCAAACTCAAATATAGGTAAGCTTTCATTATATTTTGTGTATATGTTGTCTTTTAGTTCCTCACTGTACATCACATCAAACACAACCATCTTATGATCCTAGGATATTAAATAGCCACTTTGAGGATTATAACGCAATCAAAAATTCAGGATGTGTCCCTAGTAAGTTACTCATTTTGATTCAATTGAATTTTAGTCCATCATAATACCACCAAATCCTTACGGTGTGAAATATCGGGTTGTGAACAAACTTTCCAGTCGGTTAAGTACCTGTCTAACCACATGAAAGATTCACATCGAGACTTGAAAAGATTCAAATGTCCACTAGAAGGATGTACATTTGGCGGTTTACGTCGTATGCATCTAAAGCGTCATATTAATGAATTTCATAGTGGTATGTTAAACTTTTGCATTTACTTTTGTCGTCGTCTTTCCACTGTACTGAAAAAAATGAGAGAATTTCGGTGTGATTTATGCAGCGTTTAACACACTTCATGCATGTGTATGCTGACCGCATATACATATACATATATATATATATATATATATATATATATATATATATCCAGGCGTAGTCGGTAACCCATATCCTATCATCGCTTTAACCCAATCTGCTTTAATTTGTGAAATTGTTTGTCATATAATGGATATCTGAATTATGTTGTAGTTGTATGATAACTATTATTTATTATTGCAGTGTATGCAGCCGTACACATTTTCCACTCATTGAAAGGCATCTTGTTTCTGCTTGTAGTTATTTTCACATGTCGTTCCACTCACCTTTTGATTCCCCCCCTTTTCTCTACTTTCATATAGCCTGTGAAGTGTGGTAATTTGAACTGCTGCACTTCTAGGTAAAGTGCTGCGTTGAAAATGAAGTCAGTATTATCTCCTTAAATAAGGTGATGTATCTTTACTTCTGTTAGTAGTGATAAATTTGGCGGTCTACAATAGCGTTCCAGGAGAACGAACGCTTCAATGACGTTGGAGGCATGCTGGTCGTTGGATTACGGCACCTTTCATTATCGTAGCTGAAATATCAACGCTATTCAAATAAGGAGCAAGTTTCACCCAGATAACACTTTTAATTACTGTTTGGACAATGTGTTAATATCTTGTTAGGGTTGGAACAAGGATTAAGTTAAGTATTGGGGTTAGGGTTACGGTCATAATTGGGATTTGGTTTATGTTTACGGCAGGATAAGAATTGTCATTAGGGTTAGGATTAAGGCTAAGGCTAGTGTTGAGTTTAGGGTTAGGGTCAAGATTAAGGTTAGGGTTGCGATTAGGGACAGATTTATAGTTAATGTTTATTTTAATTTGATTTATCCTCATTTCCCTTGTATGTAGTTGTCGATCCTCTTACTGAAACCATAGTAATTTAACCGAGGGCTTCGGAGAGGACTGCACAGCAAGAGAAAAGAGAGATGAACGATTCACAAAACAGCACATCTTCAGTCACTCCGGTAAATAACATCTATAGAAACTAGTCCAAGTTAGCAACTGATACTCTTCATCATAACTGGGACGTATTTTTAAGTCACGTCAGAGAAAGATAATCTGTTTAATATGTTTTCATGCGTTTTCTTGTGAATATACGTCATTTTTGTGCAAAAATTCCTCATTTTTATCATTGGTTGGCTGAAGGTCACTCGTGCGTTCGCATCCCTTGGGACGCTATTGTAGAAACTTGCCGTATATTTAATTAGTGGTCTACCTTATCTATTGTTTCTTACACTTATCAAACAAGGAAATCAGGATTGTTGTATTTTGATAAACAAAACTGCGAGGAAAAAAAACAAAAGACCAGATTTTGCAGCTTATTAGAAATATATGCCCTATATGAATCATTTTAATTACATATACATCGTAGGTACACTTCCTTGTAAGTTGAGTACCACTTTTCGCCTAGAAGAATCTGATTGGCGAAACCAAGGTCGTCTGACTTTGGTGTTTATTGTTTACTCTTGCCACAAAATTCCACGAGTGGTGTTAATTACAGCGGAACCTAGGACATACACATTAGAGATTGATTTCATAAGCCAAATGAACTAAAGGAAATAGCTTCAGATTTTATTAGGTAGATTTCAACCTAAACAATAACTGTTCATGTAAAGCTTTTAGTATATCTAAGTGACTGAAAAAATCAAAGGACGTTTTTTTTATTGATATAAATATAAAACTTGGCCACTGTGCTGGCAGAGTATGACTCCATTATAAGTAAGATTTTATTTTGATAAATCACACAGCGTTGTTATACAGTATTATTAACTGATGACGTTTCGAGCACAAACTATCACTGCTCGTAATCATATCAAGTCACTCACTCACACAACTTTTTTCCTTCATTTTTATACATGTGTGGAATTGACCAGATATGTGAATAAGAATCAGTATGAGATAATGTACATTCAGAAATAATAATACGAGTGTTATTGATCAATTACAATCAGATGGGAAATAAGACGAGTGTTTTTTTAATAGTCAAAATAAGCAACTTGTTAGAATGTTGCGATGTGCTTGAATTGAATTGAAATAGAATACAATTTGAGATTATTTATTATCCTCCTGTGATTTGACTGACTGACTGACTGGTGGTAATAATATCTCCCATGGATATTTCTGGTATTTGCATGGAGTCATTTCTGTTGCATGTGGTGTGTTGCGTGTAGATACAATGAGAGGAGGATAATAAACAATCTCAAAATTCTATTTCAATTCAATTCACATACATTATGACATTCTAACAAGTTATTTATTCATTTTGACTATGAAAAAACACTCGTCTCATTTCCCATCTAATTGTATTTGATCAATAACACTCGTATTATTATTTCTGAATGTACATTATCCTATACTGGTTGATTTTTATTCACATATCTGGTCAATTCCACACATGTATATAAATGAAGTAAAAAGTTGTGTGTGTGTGTGTGTGAGTGAGTGACGATATGATTATGAGTGTCAATAGTTTGTGCTCGAAACTTGGTCGAATCAGTTAATATTACTTAGTGTATAACAGCACTGTGTGAGACTTTATCAAAATAAAATCTTATCCATAACGGGTTATTGTTTTTATTGACTTTTTGCTATTGAAGATGATCCCCATAGACTTTATCAGAATAACAATATTAAACCAGAATTTACAAAATCATAGTTCTTCGGCAGGTGGTCATTTTTTTATGAGGTAGTATATACATCTGATAAACCTCCTTTAGGAGTAATCAATGTTAGGAGAAATAGACACTCTAGAGACAATATTCGATCACTGGGAAAACTGAAGGGACTAGGAGAGTTTGAAAATTCACCGACCGTACGTCCTACGCATTATAGACGCAGACCACAAGTTTAATTTTGACAATACTGGGGTTTTTCAGAACAATTGTCACAAAAAACATCTCTTATCAGAAGTAGTATTTCACATTGAAATGGAATCCAAATTGTCTGAATAGGAATACCGACCATAAACAGAATTTGATCTGGTTCTAACACTCACCCCACCACATAAAGTGACAAAATCAACACTCAATTTCATTGAATAAATACATGGTGTTTTTATAAAATTGATACATTTATCAAACCTAACAGTCTGCTACATGGTTTGTTATCTTTTTCAATTCAAATCTACTTGATAACGTAAGAATCACCTCATACTGAAGAAGTCATTAAATATTTGTGTTGCTGGCTACACAATAAATGTCTGTTATAGTCCATTTGGTGTAGTGGATAACACGGGTTTGAAATGATGGGTACTGACTTGGTTCGAGTTTCAACGGAGACATCTTAGCTCTCTAGGAGGAGATGCAGGTACGTCGAGTTGATGACTCCTGAGTAGGTAACCATCCACCAAACTAAGATTAAGTTGCTGTATACATATGTGCGTCGGTGGCACAGTGGTTAGGACTCACATCGACCATGCACATGGTCCGAGGTTCAATCCCTTGTCGACGCACACGCGATATCTATTGTCAGCCTGCGAAATTTGGGCTACCAATATCACATGCTGAAAATTCCATACTTGTACTAAAAATAAAGTGTGGGATCAAGCTGTAATCAAAAATTAAAAAAAAAATACTAACCATACACCCAAATCTAAAACTGTTTTCAGACTATTCAATATGAGCTTGACTTGTTTTCAAATGATAACTTGCACAATGGAAGGTTATAAATTGATATGGTTAAGTAAATGGTGGGTTTTATCGGTCATGTGAGACCTATTCTACCAGACTATACTGCCTCTGGGTAGTTGTGTGAGTGCTGGCGAGGAAGGGTAACGGATGATATTTCCAGCCGTATAATGGAGGCTAGGATGGCATACATCAACTCCAGCCACCTCTGGCTCCGTCGCAACGTTTGTCTGGCTGTAAAAGGTCAGGTATACAATGCTTGGGGGCGGCATGTCTTGCTCTACGCCTGTGAAACCTGGCCTCTCCGAGTAGGCTGAGGATATGCGGCGGCTCTGCGTGTTCGATCATCGCTGTCTCCGCAGGATTGCTTGCGTTCGATGGCATCATCATGTGAGTAATTCTGAGGTTCGGCGACGTGTGTTCGAACACAGTGGAGATCACTATTCATTGAGTGTCGTCATCTGGAAACACCGGCTCCGGTGGCTTGGACATGTGCTGCGAATGTTACCCCAGAGGCTTCCGTACAGGTCTCTGTTCGCTAGCCCTGGGACGGGATGGAAAAGGCGGAGAGGTGGTCAGTCCATGGCGTGACGTCGTGGGATGAAGGATGTTTGTGGTAGATTAGCATCGATTGGTGCGTCACGGCTACCTGGTTGGAGTCCGCGAGATAGCTCTAATCGATGATGGCTCGAAATGTTGTCGGATATGGCCAAGAATCGTAATCAGTGGCGAACGTGTTACGATTTCCTTCTTTCTTCCCTTCCCGATGATAGTTAACGAATACTGTTTGAACTTGTTAAGTATGACTGTTTTCCTTCCAGATGAAGTTCTTTATCCGTTCTCTACTTATATATATTTTTTACTTTTGATCTATGTTGTTTTATTATTATCATTATTATGTGGCTCATCTTTCTTGGTACCATGTTGTACCAAGTTTTTTTCTGTGTTTAAATAAATAAATACTGCCTCTTTGAAAGGTTTGAGATCCCTTATTATTACTGTAAGTTCTTACAGAATTGCGTTGAAACTTCCCTCTTTTCTGGGTTTGCTACTGGCTAGACGAGATTTAAGAGTGATTGTTGGTGAGAATTGAACTTGGACAGTGTGTTCCTGGTTGTTTGATGAGCATTCTATCACCGACATTCAAGGTGATGATGTACAAAGTAGTTTAATTCCTGTCAGCTTTATGAAAATTTACAAACCAATGATTTTGGCTAGCCAAACTGCCTGGACCTGCTTCTTTTTTTCACACAGAGCTCCAACTGTTTTTGGGCGAACTGCTATAGCCTCTGTCTGTCAATAAAGCTTCGTGTGCTTTTGGAAGTGTGTGGGTGGTTGTTACTTTCGGGTGCTGCCCACACCGTGGAGATTGATTAATTCTTCGGCTACCTGAAACAATGAGAGGGTTAGTGTTGCGTGATCGCAGAGCCCAGGGGACAACTGCCTGAGGCCGGCCGGTCACACACGGCCTGTATAAACTGGTTTCATGGATTGGTTCCGTATTAGTAAACTTACCGCCGGTTACGGACCACCGTAGGTGGGGTAAGTAGGGATGTACAATTTTTAAGGTCGACCTTTTCTAACCCTCTCTCTCCGGAGTGGAGAGACAGCATGCTGGTCATCTGAGGGAAACAGCTCACTGTTGTTACACCCCTGTCACCCAGTGGCAGTACGACTTCGCCCACAGACCCCCCCCCAACTGCTTTTAGTCTAATCTCTATCCTAACAACATTCCTGGTATGGCAGGACCTGGAGGAACATTTATTCCAGCCAGTTTTGCTTGTTGGATCATCGCGATGTGCAACCGCGACCACCACGTCAAGGTGACAGCTATCGGTCGGGGCAATAGCCTCTGGTGTTTAGAGTGTTCCGTCTCTAGAGGCCTTCGATAATTTATTCGATACTGGATAGATAGATGATAAAGAAAGACTCTTCAGTGCTAGCTACCTTTGTGGCCTGTTTGAATAAGGTTTCCGCCCACCTCCCGCAATGTAGAACTATTGGTGGTTTTTACTACAAGCTCTAGGAGTTTAATTTTTTCCTAGTCAAAACAGTTAAGCAAGCATTCCTCCTCAGTTTTTTCTTTTTTTTTTGTTTTTCAGATATGAAACTTTCACTTTATCGAGTGTTGGAACGTAACAAGCTTGAAAATGAACCATATAGTAATAACAGTAATAATAACAATAATAATTCCATTCAACAACCTACGACAATGGTGTGTAGTAGAACACCACCAGAAATCCACCAAGCATCAGACCGACAACAACAACAACAACAGCCATATTGTACTCCTCAATTGATGAATAATTTTACTCCAATGGATACTACAAATTATGCCTCAAATGATGAATCCTTTTATCATCAAAATTCTGATGAATATCCTAGGAGTAATGATGTTTATTCATTCCCCATGTCAAGTTTACCACCAACACAGTCGTCACGGGAATTTTCTTCTTTTTCTTCTACTTCGTCGTCCTCAGATAATAATAATAATAATAATAATAATAATAATAATAATAATAATAATAATAATAATGAGAGCAGATCAATAATATTACATCAAACTCTATTTCGAAGCACAGTGAATCATGAGAACACACCAACTTTGCATAATAATAACAATAATAATCAACAGAATAGTTTCCTTGTAAATAAAATCAATAATAATAATAATAATAATACAGTAGGTACAGCGGGGGCAGATGGCCTCTATATGGAGTCCAGCTATCCTTCTCCTCCTCAGCCTCATCCTCCTACTCGTCCTGCTTCTCCTTCTGGTTTGTCGACAACTCAATCAATTCATCATTATCGTCCTGAAGATTCAGACAAGTTGTCATCATCACATAATGATGAAGCATCAGCAGAGCAAGCGAACTGTTGTTTACTGATGACAAATCCTCCACAATATTCTAGTGTATCCTCGTCTCATCAAAATGAATCACTTCCTCCCCCTGCTATTGTTAGCAGTAGTATCTGTTGTAGTAATATAACTGAAGCGGATGTAGTTGAACAACTTTTTTTAAACAAATCAGATAGTTCATCCGATAATCTGTTGGATCATATCTTATGCGAACGAATTGAAGAAGCATCGAAAGACAATGATCAATTGCCTTGTAATTCTACAGCAGATGATATGAATATAATAACCGGTGGTGATGCTGTTCTCTCAGAGACAGATGCATTTTTCTGCGATTTACAAGAAATCTTAGCTCGAGATATGCCTATGCTAATAATGATGGCGACATCTTCTACGCCAAGATGTAATGGTGGTGGTGGTGGTGATTCTTCGTCATCTTATTCATCTTCTGATCTAGTTGTAGATGCAGTAAAAGAAATGATGATTGAATCAAAGTCCCCGACAGGTGCTGTTGGTGGTGGTGGTATGCCTGCAGTTGGAGGTAGTGGGGGTGCTGGTGCTGGTGGTGCTTGTAAACTGATGACAAGTAATTCATCCTTACCAAGTACTGATTCAGGACATGAATGTTGGAGTAGTAGTAGCAGTTGTAGTGCTGGTCCGAATGGCACTTCTGTATGGGGTGGAAGTGCTGGTAGTCAACAAGAGCCTGTCACTCCAATGATGATGATGAAAGTCTCTTCACCATTTTCATCTTCAAATCATCAATATTCATCTTCATCTCATGTCAATCATTCATTAGGGGTTACAGAACAAGTTGGAGATGAAAACCACCAACTCCAACAACAACCGCAGCCGCACAATTTAATTGATTATGATTCACATGATGATCAACTTACTGCTAATCAATACACAAAATCAGCTTATGGTATAACTGAAAGTGTTGTCGACGACGATGCTGGTGTGTCAGTTAGTCCACGTGGATCGTCGTTTGCTGCATCACAACAGATGGGTAAAATTATTTGTTCAAACAATACCACTACTACTACTCCTACTGGAGGTCAATCTCAATCATTTCATAATTATTCAACTTATGGTATGTTTCTTTTTTACAAAAGGTTTTTTTTTAAATAGAAAAGTGCTAAAATTTAATTTGAAATGTTCTCGAAGTCGGTAAATCCGTCTGAACATAGGGCTTCAGCTGCACGTCTCCATTGCGTTCGGTTCTCTGCTAAAGTTTTCACCGGGCTCCAAGTCTGTCCACATTCTTTCATCATTCGGTCTTCACATGACCTCCTCCAAATCACCTTTGCAATGACTAACAACTCCCCGCTTCCCTTTCGGGTTCCACTCGAGGAATGGCTTGTCTAGTGATGTCACTTGATAGTTTGTTTCCTCAGAGTATGGCCAATCCAATCCATTTCCATCTCTTCCTGCTTATTTGTTGCACAATCGGTCCCTGCTGGGTTGGTTCGTTCATTGCCAGAGATGGTGATGATGCTGTTGGTGATCTTTTCTGCCCGACCATCTGATCTTAAGCGATGTATTGGGCGAAGACAGCTGTTGATGAAGGTCTGTAGTTTGTTTGAGGTGCTCTTTATGACACGTTGGCCAAGTCTCTGATCCGTATAGTTAGTAGCACTGACTTCACACGAGTTGAAATCCGGATCTGATTTTGATTTTCATGCTGAGTAGTGTTGTTGAGACCCCCACACAGACTTGATAATAATGAAATTCTGAAACTAATAAAATACTGCAATTTATAAGGGAATATTGAAGTTGCTAGGTAGGAGTGGGGGTGCAAATGAATCGATTGAAAAGGCGAAGACACGTGTTATGCGTGACGAGTCATCACCACCTACCTTGACGAGCTGAAATAAGATTAAATTGGTAATGAACTTTACAGATGGTCAAATCAAAACGTGGTATTAATCCATTAAGTCTTTCACAGTTGGTTTGAACTAGCCATGTAGAGAGGGAGGAGGTGTAGACTGTCTCGCTACTCGGTCTGGTCCTCAAAATTCTAAGGGCCACTTGTTTGTGATTGTCATTGATATGGTTGGAAATCGTTGTTAATGAATGGTGTGCAGATATGCATTCACTCTTTATGATCGGTATTCATTGAACCCTCGTGTTATTATTTTTCTCGTACTTTTTCTGTAACACCTTGAGCTGCAATCTACTAATGTTTGGAGTGCGATTCGCTCCCGCCAAATGCAAGATGATGTTACAAGACTGACTGGAATACACTGACTCACTCCTAGTTTGGAAATAAGGAGTGAAGTGGTTGGTGGAGCGTGTTGACCGCTTCACTTATTTGGGAAGTACCAACAGCCAGTGCCAACGGGTTGATCTCTGACGAAATCTCAACGCGAATACAGGGGGCTAGTTTCGCATATGCCAGTTTACGCCGTCTCTGACGTAGACGTGATATCCGACTGGCTATCGACCGAAAGGCGTATGTACTGCTCATCACTCCGCTCCGTCCTTTATGGTTGTGACCGAGACCTGGCCATTGAGAGTGGAAGACATGAAAAGCCTGGCCAGCTGTCTTTGATAATAGGTGTCTGCATTCCATCTCCCATGTGAAGTGGTATAATAAGGTGACCAATATTGAGGTGAGGCATCGGTGGAGTGTTAGGTAAGTGGGAGGGGAAATCAATCGACGAGGCTGTGAAATTACATCGACTGAGGTGGTTAGGACACGTGTTACACCTGGTGGCCTAGTCATCGCCTTCCTCGACAATGGGCAATGTTAACTGGCTGACATAGGGTCAGGCTGGAAAAGAGCTAGCACGTGGTGGTCAAACCAAAACATGGTTTCACCAGTCAATGAAATCTACAACAGTTAGTTTAAGCCAGCCCGACAGACACTTTGGGAGGTGTACACTTCCTGTTTGGGGTCCTCGGGTTGGTAAAAACTAGTGGCTGGAGACAATCGGTGATATGGCTCAAAATCGTCCTTTGATGGCTGGCTCAGAGTCATCCACTCCTTGTGACTTATGATTTCCAATGAAACTATATTGTTCTTCGTCTCACACCTCTGTTTACTGTTTCTAGTTATTATGCATTTCTTCTACTTTCTTCTGTTGGTTTGTGTGCTACAAGGAGGGAGTGTGGCGACTTGAAGTGGTGCACATGTGGTGCAAAGTTCTATGTCGAAAATAGACAGACAGACTATTTTTGTGTTCATTATAGTGTTCTTTTGAATGTTTTTTTCTCTGTGTGTGTCCGTTTTGTCTGACTGTTTGCTACATTGAGTATAGCGACTTGTGCTACTGTATATGCGTTCACGCTTGTTCGTCTCAAATCGATACTATTTATTCTTCACTAACAATACTTTTGATGGCAGACGCTATTTGTGTAACTGTAGTTTGCAGTGACCATAGGTACTGGATAAGTTGTTTAGTGTACTTCAAAATATCACTTCTGTGTCAAGTAGTAGTTCATTGATAGATGATTGTTTGGTAGCGCCTAGTGGTGATTTGGGTTCGGTTTCCCACCGACCCACATGGAAACCTCACATAAAATAGCCAAACCTATCACCTTCAAGTTATTAGACGAGTCAACCATTGGGGTGGAATCCAACAGCTCTGTAGATTGTAACTGCTGCTGTCAATGTACGATTTATAATAGAGCCACAGGTAACCTAAAGTTCCTAAGTTCGATCTCAGGTGGGGTGACTAGTGCGCATTGCTGAGGAGTCTCAAAGTGAGACGAGACAACTATCCAGTACTCTAGGATTGATGTTTACCCGCGATCAAACTTGAAATCAATGGAATTCCCGAAAATCAATACTTAAAAGACAATATTTCATATCCATTGTTGGCCAAGTTAAACTTTAAGCACCACTAACTAACTAAATACCAATGGAGTGCGATCGCATCAATAGTGGCTTTGAAACGCTTACCGTGCAAGTTAGTGAAATCTGGGAGATAATGTTGTCATCATCAATAAAATATGCTTAGATAAGTGTTGTGTTATTAAATGAAGGAATATCTGACAAATCTCAGCTTAGGTTTGGGAAAGATTAAGTTATGGCTTCTAAGCCAAGGACAAGTTAAGGTTAGGTTAACCTAATAAGGACGACATTAGGGGGTTGGCTAGAGTTAGATTACAGTTAGGGTTGGGATCAGGAAAGATTAGGGTTAGAAGATCTAAATAATTACTTGCATAGTGTGATTAAATTAATCCGTTCATATAAGAGTAGAATTTGTACACTGGCGGTGGAGTATAATTTCATTGTTGGTAAAATTTATTTTAATGTATAAAGTCTAACATCGTGTTATACAGTAGTAATATTTACTGATGACAACGTTTCGAGCAGAATTTATTACTCAGGAAATATTACTGTGTAACACGATGTTGAGACTTTATCAAAATAAATTTTTACCCGCAATGGAATTATACCCTGTTGATATTCTCTATCCTAAGATTGATAGCTATTTTCATCACATTTCAGAGAAAAGTATCCTATGGAACATTTTTATGCAGTTTTTATGCATTTTTTTTTCTTCATAAATATATGTATTCTATACACAAAAATGCCTCCTTGACGTGATTGGTGCTTTCGAGGTCATAAGCTGTTTGGTAGTTAGTTAGTGGTGCTTAAAGTTTAACTTTGCCCCATTGTGTTAAAAGTAAATAATTCGGGGACTTCTAGTGGCAATACTGCATTTGTTTATTCACATGTCACTGCGTCTTATTTCCTTTTCTCTTATAATACTGGTTATGATTATTATTTTTCACTCCTTATATTCCTACTGAGAACATAAGACCTAAGCAGTACACCACCTGCGTTGCACTCGGTTCTCTGATATCATTTTCGTTTGCCTTCATGACTCTCCCAAAGCCTTTATTTTTCTTTATAGTATAGTATATAGTATTCATATTACCTTCGGACCCATGACCCACCGATCGTTTCCCATTTGTCATTCCACTAGAGCTTTAACCGGGCTCGCGATGTCCTTCGATGGATCTCTTCAGCCTGTGTTCGACACACCTCCATTTTCAAGTGTTGGTTTGTAGGGATTTGGGTGATTGGTTACAGGATTTCATCATGAGCTGACATTGGTTATAGAGAACCATTGGAAAACCATTAGGGAGTCCTAGACAGCTTTTCCCTCAGTCCCAGTTTGGGACTCTTCATCAGTACGCACCTACCACAACTGGGTTCGGACCCAGGACCTTCTGATTACAAGCCCAGCGAGCTAGCTCGTAGACCATTAAGCCAGTGGGACCAGATCCAGTGATCGGCCCTTGAATCCTAACTTCTTCCAATTCACAACATAACGCGACCCCTAGCCAATGTCTTCGATGGCGAGTATTTGTCCTCACACCCGACCTTCTGCACCCTACTGGTCACGGCTTTCACTTCTCATTGGATAGGATCCCAGTGGCTTAATGGGATACGAGCTCGCCTTGTTACCAGAAAGTCCTAGGTTCGAATCCCGGTGGGTGCGTACTGATGAAGAGTCCCAAACTGGGACTGAGGGAACAGCTGTCCAGCACTCCCTTTTGGTTTTCCAATGACTCTCTAACTGATGTCAGCTGATGATGAAATCCTGTAACCAATCAACCAAATCCCTACAAACCAACACTTGATTATCTTGTTTATTTTGTTGATTACTGCTATGGATCTCTACACTTGAATTAATGCATTTCCACGCAAAATGTCATATTTGTCTGTTATTCTATAAGTTCAGTTTTATGTATATTACATGTTATTGAAAACTTGAAACTACTACTTGAAAGAAATTTTACTAGACTTCTCTGTTAAATAAGTTTTCAACACGCTGGAAGGGTGGGGGAGTTAACTACTCCACTTCATTATGGATAAGATTTTATTTTGATAAATCACACAGCGTTGTTATACAGTATTGTTAACTGATGACGTTTCGAGCACAAACTATCACTGCTCATAATCATATCAAGTCACTCGATCACACAACTTTTTTCCTTCATTTTTATACATGAGTGGAATTGACTAGATCTTTCAATAAAAAATCACTATAAGATGATGTACATTCAGAAATAATAATACGAGTGTTATTGATCAAATACAATCAGATGGGAAATGAGACGAGTGTTTTTTCATAGTAAAAATAACCAACTTGTTAGAATGTTGCGATGTGCTTGAATTGAATTGAAATAGAATACAATTTGAGATTATTTATTATCCTCCTGTGATTTGACTGACTGGTGGTAATAATATCTCCCATGGATATTTCTGGTATTTGCATGGAGTCATTTCTGTTGCATGTGGTGTGTTGCGTGTAGATACAATGAGAGAAGGATAATAAACAATCTCAAAATTCTATTTCAATTCAATTCACATACATTATGACATTCTAACAAGTTACTTATTTTGACTATGAAAAGACACTCGTCTCATTTCCCATCTAATTGTATTTGATCAATAACACTCGTATTATTATTATTTCTGAATGTACATTATCTCATACTGATTCTTATTCACATATCTGGTCAATTCCACACATGTATATAAATGAAGTAAAAAGTTGTGTGTGTGTGTGTGAGTGACTTGATATGATTATGAGTGTCAATAGTTTGTGCTCGAAACTTGGTCGAATCAGTTAATATTACTTAGTGTATAACAGCACTGTGTGAGACTTTATCAAAATAAAATCTTATCCATAACGGGGTATTGTTTTTATTGACTTTTTGCTATTGAAGATGATCCCCATAGACTTTATCAGAATAACAATATTAAACCAGAATTTACAAAATCATAGTTCTTCGGCAGGTGGTCATTTTTTTATGAGGTAGTATATACATCTGATAAACCTCCTTTAGGAGTAATCAAGGTTAGGAGAAATAAACACTCTAGAGACAATATACGATCACTGGGAAAACTGAAGGGACTAGGAGAGTTTGAAAATTCACCGACCGTACGTCCTACGCATTATAGACGCAGACCACAAGTTTAATTTTGACAATACTGGGGTTTTTCAGAACAATTGTCACAAAAAAACATCTCTCATCAGAAGTAGTATTTCACATTGAAATGGAATCCAAATTGTCTGAATAGGAATGCCGACCATAAACAGAATTTGATCTGGTTCTAACACTCACCCCACCACATAAAGTGATAAAATCAACACGCAAACAAACAAGACATGAACGCCAAACTGGGACCAGACAACACAGGAAGGGAACTCGTCGTGAGTAGAGTAGCTCTCGGAGAAATGAATGATAACGGAGAACTCTTCGCCGACTTCTGCGCCTTCAAGGATCTAGTGATCGGTGGCAGTGTATACAAGCACAAAGATATCCACAAGTCTACATGGGTGTCACCAGACTGGCAAACCAAAACCCAAATTGAGTTCATCTCAATCTCAAGGAAGTTGAGGCGCAGCCTACTGGACACAAAAGCAAGAAGAGTAGCAGACGTTGGCTCAGACCACTATCTCGTACAAGGGACAATCCAAATCAAATTAAGAGCTTTCAGGGAAACAGGAGCTGAAGATGGACCACAAGCCAAGTTCAACACGTAAAAGCTGAAGGACCAGCCTACAAAGGACGTCTTCATTGCAAACATAAGGGAAAAAGCCGAGACTCAAATCAACACCAGCGAAAAGGTCAGCGTCGAAAAGCACTGGGACAACCTGAAAACAGTGTGGAGTCAAACCTGCATGGAAGTTCTAGGCAGAAAGAAGAGACAGGACAAACAGTGGCTCACTACCGACACTTGGAAACTAATAGGGGAGAGAAGGACAGCGAAACAAAAGATTATACAGTGCACTGATGAGCAACAAAAACAGGAGCGGAATGCAAGCCACAATACACCGAACAAAAGAGTAAAGAAGAGTACCAGGGAAGACAAAAGAAAATATTATGAAACCATGGCAAACGAAGCAGAACAAGCTGCAGGCAAAGGAGACCTCGCCACACTCTACCAAACAACTAGGCGCCTTTCGGGCAAACGTTCGACACAGATTAATCCAATAAAGGACGACAATGGAAAGTCAATCACCAAAGAGGTGGAACAAAGAAAACACTGGGCTGAACACTTCAAGAGACTTCTAAATCGTCCACCACCTACAACACGCCCAACAATACCTACAACGGAAGCAGAACTACTAGTGAACATTGATCCCTCAACGAAATCAGAAGTCCTGAATGCAATCAAGATGCTAAAAGCTGGGAAAGCAGCAGGACCAGATGGAATCCCAATAGAAGCTTTGAAAATAGACCAAGAGACAACAGCGGACTTGATGACGCCACTGCTGGAGAAGGTCTGGAAAGAGGGCAAAGTACCCGAGGATAGGAAGAAAGGATACTTATTCAAACTTCCAAAGAAAGGAGACTTAAGTCAATGTAAAAACTGGCGTGGAATTATGCTTCTGTCCATTCCAAGCAAGATACTAAGTCGCATCATCCTGGAGAGAATCAAACAAGCCAACCTGGATGAAAAACTTCGTCCGGAACAGGCCGGATTCAGGAGAAACAAATCATGTATTGATCAAAACGCCACTCTACGGATCATCATTGAACAAAGCTTGGGATGGCTCAGTCACCTCTCTATCTCAACTTCATCGACTTTGAAAATGCCTTCGACAGACAGTGACCATCGAGAGGCCATTTGGCAACTACTTCGCTACTTTGGGGTGCCATCGACAATTATACATCTCATCCAACAGTTATACGACAATGCTGCATGCCAAGTAATCCACAACGGGAAACTTACGGAAGCCTTCGAAGTGAGGACGGGAGTAAGGCAAGGCTGTCTACTATCACCGATGATCTTCCTGATTGCAGTAGATTGGATAATGAGAGAGACAACGGCAACCAACGAGGGAATGGGAACAAAATGAACTCACACAAAAAACTTAAAGGATCTGGGCTTCGCCGATGATGATATATGTCTGATTTCCCACAAACTGGAAGATATGCAAGTGAAGAGCAGCATTTCGGAGGAAGCATCCAGAGAAGATAGGACTTCAGGTAAACATAGAGAAAACAGAGGTGATGAAGATTCCTGGGTAACACCAACAGCAACAACAACAACAGACAACAGTCAGCACAAATAAGAGGAACGTGAAAGAATCAATCTCCTTTACGTACTTACATACCTGGGAAGCATCGTTTCAACTACAGGTAAACGGAACTGACGAGGATATCAAAGCAGTGAGAATCGGGAAAGCAAGACAAGCTCTCAGTACTCTCAAGTCTGTGTGGTGGTCAACAGCACTCAGCGTGAGAATGAAAATAAGATCCGGATTTTCAACTCCAAATTGAAGTCAGTCAGTGCTACTATCCGGATCAGAGACTTGGCGAGTCATAAAGAGCATCTCAGACATACTTCATACCTTCATTAACAGCTGTCTTCGCTCAATAACACTCAAGATCAAATGGCCAGAAAAGATCAACAACAGCAATCTCTGGGAGCGAACCAGTCGGGAACCGATTGTGAAACAAATATGCAGGAAGAAATGGAGATGGATCAGCCATACTCTGAGGAAACCAGCAAGTGATATCACTAGACAAGCATCGCTCAAGTGGAACCCGAAAAGGAGGCGGCGAGTTGGTCGTCAGTGCAAGGGTGACTTGGAGGAGGTCATGCGAGGAGGAGATGAAAGTATGTGGACGGACCTGGAGCGGGGTGAAAAAGTTGTCAGAAAACAGAAGGCAATGGAGATGCGCAGCTGAAGCCCTATGTTCCTCTAGGAACTAAAGGATACAATAATAATAATAATAATACAATCAGATGGGAAATAAGACGAGTGTTTTTATAGTCATAATCATTAACTTTTAGACTAAAAGACTTGGTGGACCCAATTAAACAAAATAATATAATTTACAAAATACCATGCGATGACTTTGAGGTCAACTATACAGGTCAAACTAGTAGATCAGGGATAGTCAGATTGTCGGAACATAAGAATATACTGGCTAAGGTAAGAATGGTTGACCCCATCTAAGAAGATAAGTAATTTAGAAAAAAGCTCAGCTATAGCACTTCGCGCATTAACACACAACAGCATGGTGGAAGAGGGTTAAGATTCTAAAAAGCAGTCTAGGTAGGTGGAAAGAGAGGTTGATTACTGAATCCTGACTGGTTCATTGAGTCTACACCCAACACAACACATTCAACAGAAATGACACAATCCAAATACCAGAAATATGCTTGGAAGATATTATTACCACCAGTCAGTTAAATCAGAGGAGGATAATAAATAATCTCAAATTGTATTCTGTTTCAATTCAATTCACGTACATCACAACATTCTAACAAGTTACTTATTTATTATGACTATAACAACACTCGTCTTATTTCCCATCTGATTGTATTTGATCAGTAGCACTCATATTATTATTTCTGAATGTACATTATCTCATAATGATTTTTATTCAAATATCTAATCATCAATTCCACACATGTATATAAATGAAGTAAAAAGTTGTGTGAGTGAGTGACTTGATATGATTATGGGTGGCAATAATTTGTGCTCGGAACGTGGTCATCAGTTAATATTACTGTATAACACTACACTGTGTGATTTTGTTAAAATAAAATCTTATCCATAATGGAGTTATACTCTACCGCCACAGTGTGGCTAAGTTTTATACTTATATCCGGGGGTGGTCCCTTAATAAAACCACCTGCTTCGGTCTGGGCGCCCGGGCAGTATCTCAGCCCTCACACAATGAATTGAATGAAGCAACAAACAATCAATGAAACTTATCGCGTGCTATTTACACGTGTTGCAGTTTCCTTCTTTCTTCCCTTCCCGATGATAGTTAACGAATACTGTTTGACATTGTTAAGCATGACCGTTTTCCGTCCAGATGAAATTCTTTATCCGTTCTCTACTTAACTACACCGCTGTTTTGTTGTAATATTCCTTAAAATCTCTTTTGTTTTTTGTTTTTTTTAAAAACAAAAATCTCATTTTAGGCTCTAATTATGCACAGAATCCCCTATCTCCTGTTTATTGTCCTGAAGAAAGTACACATTCACAATTCCCCCCAAATGATGAATATACCGCTTCTACTAATCGTCTTCTACTACCTGGATATAAATCTTCAGATAATCATCCGGTCATCGGAGCAGCCGGAGCAACAGCAGGAGTTAATCATCAACAGAACTTTACTCCCTACTTTCAAAATCATAATTCACATCTGTCAAATAATGAAATAACACCAAGTGCAAATCAAGAGGCTGTATTCAACTGTCGACAAATGAATCATCAATATCCATTCACTTCATTGTCGTCCTCGTCGTATCCATCAGAATCAACTTATCATCATCATCATCATCAACAACATCATTCCACCAACAACTACTATGTTCAATCAAAATATCCAAATCATAAAATAGCAGGCAGTGAGATGGATAAACGACAGCTGCCATCGTCGTTTAGAAGCTGTTATCCTCCTCCTCCACCTCCACCTCAAGGACAAGAACAAGTCTATTGGCAATCAAATACCAAGTATCGTTCGTCAGGTATGTTTAATTTGAGGTGATGTTTTACATTTTTTTAAATTAATTTCAATGTAGAGGTTTCGCCGTAGTTTGGGGTTGTTCTTCATCAGTGAGCACCTAAGACCACCGGCCTTGGGATTGAACTCAGTACTTTCAGGTTTTGAGTTCGACCCGGTGGCTGGCTTACTGACAACTGGTCAACGGATTGTGGGATTCGATGGCCTGTGAATTTTAGCTTTTGTTGATTCGCACAATTATATCTCAAATAAGTAACCGACGCTGTTTATTCATATCCGCTTCACCTCTAACATAGTCGTTATTTAATTGGTGGATGGTGACTACCAACAGAATCCAGGATGATGTGTATTTCACTTGTCCTATTTGGGACTCGTCAGCTAACTGGATATACTTGCAATTCCCAGTGAATGATGATGTTCCCACACCACCGTGGCTCGAACCCAGTGCCCATAGTTTCAAACGCCAAGCGTCGTCATCCACTAGACCACTTGGGACACGAGAGCTGGCTACCTCTTGTGCAACGGGTCATATTAATTATTTAATTGAATTTTAGATTTTCCCGTCGATTGATTGGACCGAAGTGGTTGGTCTCAAGTTGACTGGGTTCCAGCCTCGATGGGAACATTACCACTCATTGGGGAATGCAGGTACACCCAGATGACGAGTCCCAAATGGGATGAAATACGCGTTATCCTGGATTTAACTGCTAGTCACCATCCACCAAATAAATGCTTATTATTTTGAATATAAACATTAGGGAAGGAAGTGGTTGATTGTGTCGACCAATTCACTTATTTGCGAAGGAAGTCACCTCATCTTAAAAATGGACTGACTAATTACTCAAAAAAATTTTCATCCCAGATAGAAAAAGGTTCGTTTGGCATATTTGCCAGTTTTTAACTTCATCATCTATGTGGTGTGTGAAGACATGATATTCCGCCGTGTCGATCAAAAGATACGTTCTATCTCCCGTGTGAAGTGATATAATAAGGTGAGAAATATTGAGGCTAGGCATCGGTCGAGTGTTAGGTAGGTGGGAGGGAAAATCAGTCGACGAGACTGTGAAGCTGCATCGACTAAGATGGTTAAGAAATGTGTTACTCAGGCATCCCTAGTCATCGCCGTCCTCAACAACGGGCAATGTTACCTGACATAGGGTCGGGCTGGAAAAGAGCTAGCATATGGTGGTCAAACCAAAAAATGGCCGCTGCAGTCAATGAAATCCACAACAGTTGCTTTAAGCTAGCCAGCCAGCCACCTAGGAAGGTGTAGACTTCCTGACTTGTTGGGGTCCTCGGGACGGTAAGAACTAGTGACTGGAAACAATCGGTGATATGGCTCAAAGCCATCGTTCTTAATGGCTGGAGAAGATGCAACCACTCCTTGTGACTTATGATTTCCAATGAAACTATATGGTTTTTCGTCATTACTATTCCTTTGTGTCATATCCCTGTTTTGATGTCTCTATTATACATTTCTTCTACTTTTTTCTCTTGTTTTGTGTGCTACAAGGAGGGAGTGTGGCGACTTGAACTGGTGCACATCGGTGCAAAGTTCTATGTCGAAAACAGACAGACTGCACGCAACAGTTTGCTCTCTATTCATTTTGTTGAGATGATGCACAGTGCATAACTTATAATTTAACTGACCCCTTAACATGTTATCACTTTCATAGCTTATTTTCATAATGTATTACTTTAACATGATGATCATGATCGAATGAGAATAGTCCATTCACAGCAATTCACAATCTTGTTTTCATATCAGTACACTAAAACGTGATGAAGAATCTCATGGATTTATGTGAAAACGTGACAATATAATACTGTCATTCGGATTGTCTAATCTTCAAGGTTTTTCAGCTGATAAGCACTTGATGTGTGTGTGTGTCACTACCGAATTCTCATTGGTTACCTTGAGAAAAATATAACCTGAGTTCATATTGAGTGATTGAAAAGAATGAGATAACAGTTAGAGAGGGTTCATTCAAAACCGCTAGGGAGCGAACCATGCTGCTGTTCCGACCTAACTTGACACTTTTCACAGTGAAAAGCGCGCATACCCATGATCCCACCAGGGATTGAACTCTGAACCTTCAGGTTAAAAGACGAAGTCTGTTTACCGGTCATCCACTTGGACCCCACCCCTAAATTCTAACTTTGTCAATTTTTTTCACAGAGTACTGCTTCTAACAGACAGACGCCTTCAATGAACACATCCACTTCACCTTATTAACATACTGGTGGTGGACCCTACTGGTGACAACTTTTCAGTATATAGCTGTTGGAAATGCCATCCGGGTAGCCATCAGCAGTCTGGAGATCGATATTTATAGATTATGCATATTTATGCGTGGATTTGAATTAATTCACAACCCCTAGCTACGATTACTGATGTGTGTGAAGTCGTGAGTGCACAATGATGAAGAGTCCCGAGCTAAAACGAAACAACCATTCAGTAGTACTTACTTCTGGTTTACACCCGATACTCTAACTAGTTTGTTACTTCATAACGAAATCTTACATTAAATCTAGTCTAAATCCCTACAAAAGTATCCTTATAATAAATTTGAATAAAGCAAAAACAACAATGGTTTTTGCAGAATAACAGGGTTCTATGATTGTTTATTTCGTTGGCTTCTCATCAGCTGTTCTTACAAGCCAAAGTCTCTATTAAATTAATATCCTGATATGTATCCACATATATATATATTTATGTGTGTGTGTGCATGTTGGTCTCTCTTTCTGTTTGCTCGGTTAGTCTGTGACCACTTCACTTGTATGGACTTGTCTCCTTTAATAATGTGTATTCTCCTTATATTATATTATATATAATATGAGTGTTTGTTGACAGTCCGTTGCTTGGTGACATATATCCATATATGTTTGTTGGCATGTCTGCTATATTCGCTATGTATAATTGGATCGACACTCCATTATAATTAGCCATTCATGTTAAGACTGTCTAATGATTCTTCCCACGCTTGTCTGAATTATTTATATATATTCGCATTCACAATTTGTGTGAACTACTTTACTTTACAACTACTTTACTTACTTATCACTTTGGTGTGAGACCATTTATTTTCGTCTCCTTGTGTTTGGACAATAGAAGTATCATCGCAAACCTAGTGGTCTTCTGATTTCCGCCTTCTCGCGTCAGGACTATTAGTTTCTCGACCAGTCCATAACAATAATTCAGCGACGAGTACATAACATATCCACAGAAACAATTTTAGCATATTTGCATGGAGTTCATTTTTAAACAAAAATCAATCAATATATATATGCATACAATAATTATATATAAAATATTACACACTATTCCGAACAACAGTAATAATCATACACAATGGAAACTTTCGACATTATGCAATCATATGACAGTCATGCTTTCCACCTACTCAAATTATTCAATGACGCATAAACCCCATATTGAATTTACTATGGGACATGAAAATGATGGAAAGTTTCATTTCCTCGACATTGCCATGCAACGCGTAAAAGATGATATAGTCTTCAGAAGTCAATTTGTTGCAAGTCTACATGGAAAGGACAGTAACTACCTTTTTTTATTAGTTTTTGTCCAAATAGCTTTAAGCGTGGACTAGTCAAGACTACTGTATACTATAGAGAGAGCTAGGAGATTATGCTCTCTAGAGAAATTAGAGGAAGAATTTCTGTTTCTCGAAAAGATGTTGAAAATGCAACGATTACCCTCAGAGGTTCATCAACAAGTTCGGAAGAAGTGAAGTCTCAAATGTCAAGCGAATCGCAGTGGAGAAAAAGCCCGTCTACATTCAACTTGATTATGAAGGTGAAAATATTACAGCAATTGTCAACAGAAGACTGAGGAAGTTGTTATGTACTGGTCGAGAATTTAATAGTCCTGACGCAAGAAAGACGGAAATCAGAAGACCACTAGGTTTGCGATGATACTTCTATTTTCCAAACACAAGGAGAATCAAAATGTCACGCAAGAGTGTGAGAGAGCAATTTAGTGTGAATGCCTGAACAAGTGTGTGAGCGAATATTCAAAATGAACAAATCAATAGGCAGTCTTAACATGATTGGCTAATTATAATGGAATATCGATCCATATATACATAGCAAAATATGTCAGACTGTCAAACAAACACACATATTATGTGGATACATATCACCTCCCCTTTTGAGAAGATTGATGATTAGTATGGTGTTTTCTTGGGGGTTTATCTGGAACCGTTGAGCTTGTTGTTGACGTCTGTCGCTTCGTCTGCCTGTTGGGTTTGCGGCTTCGGCTTCGTCCGGAATTGTCTGACATTTTATGCTTCTTGACTGCATTGCATAGCGAATTTAGTGGGACATCAGCCAAATGCAAACGATCGAACCAATCAAGTCCCAAAAGATTTAAATCACTCTTGGTGACGTAACAAATTCCTGTGAATTTGATATTGCGGAAGAAAACAGAACATTCGAGTTCACCAATTAGTTTGAGGCGCCCACCACAAGCGCTGAGAAGAGTCTGGGAAGTATTTGTGATAGGTGGTCTGCCAATATCATTCCAAAGTTTCTTTGATATAATAGTAATATCAGAGGCGGTATCTAGCTGCAGACGTGTATCATGACCATTCATCTGAAGATCAAGATATTTCCGCATACCCGGTGTTGTGACTTGACAGGTTGCGACTAGACTCATTGACTTTTTTGGGGATTTAGGACCAACAGTTTGTCGAGCTTTCGCTGGATTATGATATCTGGGTTTGCGTGGCTGACAAAAACCATTTTTATGACCGATGACTTTGCACTTGCTGCCAGTCTGGTAACTGGATATTTTCATCTCTCTTTCATCTGAATGCGTAATGCTGAAAAGTTTCCATTGTGTATGATCATTATCGCTCTTTTCTTAATGCGATTCACTTTTCGTTTAGTAAGTACTGTTTCGACAATATGAACGACGACACCCAACTCCTCCAGGTACAGAAGCATTTCCAATAATCTTTTTTGACGCAATATCCCGACACT